GCAGAGAGAGTGGTCAGCGGGGCACGGTAGGGTCTGATAAGTCAGACAGAGAACTAATGCCAGGGCTGACAGAGAGCCACTGGTTCCACCTCTTCTGTTTGCACGTGGTTCCCAGGAACAGAATCCTCAGGTTTACCTTGCACCTCACCGCCCCAGTGAGTATCTGCAGCTCCCGGTCACCTCACCGCAGGGTGGGGACAGAGTTCACTTCCAAGGACTGAGCTGCTGGCAGGAAGTCCCCTTGTGAGCAGACAGCAAGTTATTCTGTCCCTCAGTTCTTCTTTGTGATAAAAATGTATCTCACTCTCTGGAGATAAACAGGGACTATTTTAAACCATATAAAAACTTCTAATTAGAAGGTAAGATACAAGATAAATCCTTAAAAATACTTGAAATTGTTATATATAGTGTAGTGGGTCTTTCATTTAGGCTTTATATAGGTGTGAATTTTCATTTAGACTAGAGAAATCTAAATTTTTCACTGCATTAATATTTCATTTGATATGAAAGTCTACAAATTAGCCTTAAAGTTAACTACGTAGACCATTGAGAGTGCCATAGTTTTTGGAAGTACATATTATAAAACTCTAGTTGAAATGTAGGAAAATAGTAATTACCATTTAAAAGAGGCAGATATATATTTATTTAAAATCTCTGTTAAATTAGGTTCATAATAAATATGATGGCAAGATACAGTGGAAGGCAATACTTTAAAGAGTATTAAAATGATATAGTTTAGCTGATTCTTTAAGAAAGTGTTCCTTATCTACATTATAACACATTTCTTGAGCTTTATGGAATTAAAATTCAAGCATTCTGAATTAGACCTAAGACTTAGCGTATAAATTACGTTGGCTTCCAAATTTAGCACTACTTGACAGATAACAAAATAGAAAGACTTCTCATTTCAAAAATGTTTTTGGATTTCATTTTTTGCAACAATTACATGAATATCATACTCATTTTAATTGTAAAAGTACCTCTCTTACATACAGATCACAAAAATTATTTGATGAGAAGAAAATATTAACAATAGTATAGTTTTTTTCCAATTACAATAAACATGTCTGTTTTGTTTCCACTACATTTGAACCAAAATAAAAATGGTTCCTTTTCAGATAAAAGGAAAGGATGGAATGTATATAAATATAGCATAGAAATTATATTAATAAGTAGTAGTAACATAGCATAAAACAGGCAGGATTTATTGAATACTGTTGGAAGTGGTAGATCTGTGTGTTATTCTCCCTTCCTGGGAACTTGCCTTCCAGTAACCTGGCAAAGATCTAGGGATTTAGTCCCTTTTAAAATATTTAAAGTTATTTCCTGATTTGCCATATAAATAGTATATATTCTACTAAACACCATTTTATCCTCCTTACCGTCATATACAGGTAGTTAAGGATTAGGAGATTTTTGAAGAAAACCTTAAATGTGGAAGATAAGCAAATAGGCAAATAAAAAAGCAAATAAGATAAAATGCTCTTTTAGGAAGAAAGAAATGTCAAAAGATTGTCGTTAATATCCTCAGAGATATAAGAAAAGATGTCACAGCTATTAAGTCACAGAAAGTGACGAAGTCTGGCAGAAAAAGAAGAACTAGTTGCAATTTCTGAAGTTAGAGACGAAGGAAAGGAGGAGCAGGAGAACAGGATAAATTTACACTCAAAGTCAGAAATTTCAAATTTGAAAGAATAGTTCTTTAGACTGAACAAATAAAGGACGGTGAAATAGTCAAACAGTAGATCTGTGCTTTAAGGAAAAAGGCATGAGCAAACTAGAAAAGTCAGCACGATGGAGGACAACAGAGAAAGACGGAGCGGGCCTCACTGTGGAGCAGCTCAGGCTGGTAAGAAGTGAGTTTCTTAAAAAGAATCACTTAAAGTACCAGAAATCTAAAGGACTTGATTTTTGTCACAGTAGCCTAAGGGAGATGAGAGAGACAGACAGACAGAGACAGATGGAGAGACAGTGACAGAGATATAAAGAAGCAAAGAGACAGAGACTTAGAGGAGAACACAGAGACACAGGGATACTGGGACAGATGCAGAGCAGAGAAAGGCCTTAGAAGGCAGAGGGATTCCCAGAGGGCCAGTCGCAGTCACAGGGAAATCTTGTGATGGTGATTGTGCCACCGACACCGAGCAGTGACCCAAACCCCCCGACACACACAGCAGGGGCCAAAACCCTCAGCGCACGCACGTGCTGCTTCTCCCTTCCCAGCCCTGGGCCCCACCCCGAAGGTTCATCCATTCTCAGCCTGACTTGAACAAACACCCATGAGCCTCTCACACTGTGCCTGCCTTCTCCTCTAAATAGCTGAATGCTCTTTTCTTTCTCTGAAAAGTATTTGATTTAAATTTCTAACAGAGGGTTAGAAAAAAGCTTTAACAGGCCTGATTCAGAGGGCACAGAACAGAGATCATTGCCTCCAAAAGAAACTTTTAAACAGCAATGCAGGCAGGTGCTATGATTCTGCTGTACATAGGCTTTGCATATATGCACAGAAACACATTTTTCTGCATTAATTAGCATTATGTAAGCATTAAAAAGCATTATGATGCTAAAATACATTGAAATCCTTAGTGTTGAGTATATACGTTCACTCGATAACAGAAGCATCATATATATATATGTTCAGATATATAGAATATATGCAGCTATATATGAAGATAAGAAATGTATATATATGTATATATAAAATCTGAGTTGCTTATTATTTAGAATATTGTAACAAATAAAATCTCCTCCCCCATTTCACCGTCTTTGTGGAACACAGTATACCCCGTATGGTTTTACACTGGTCAGAGTTACTCATTTGAAAAATGAGAAATAAGTGTGCATGGCTCATGGGTGTGGCCAGAGTGGCTGAGGCTGCTGTATTTAAGTGAATATATGTGAATATGAACTTGGCGCTGTTTTCCTTTTGGTTACCAGGAGACAGCTGTCAGTTTCGTGCCGTATTTCCTAGAGTCACAGGTTCTGCTGCTGAGTAGAAATGTTCCTTCCTTTCCGTGCAATGTGAGGGTTGCTCAGGAAAATAATGCCTATTCCATTGCTGCCTTTCCAAATGGGAGACTGCCTATCATTCTCCGGACTTTATTTTGAAAGCAATTAGGATTTTATCACACGTGGATATATTCCTAATGTAGGGAGGTATCTCTTTTGGCCATGAAACAAAGACCTTTTAGGAATTGGAAAAAAATAATCTTATACATTTTATTCGGTATTACATATAGAGGTAAAAAGGAGAAGGACTTTTAAATTTCAAATTTCATTAATAAAACAATTGGATAAAATAATTATTAAATTTTACTGGCTATCTAAGTCATTATTTTCTGACTTCTTAAAAATAACATTATAATTCCTATTTTCAGGTTATTTAATATAATGATGATGTGAAATTTAACAGTACTTTAAAAGTTAAATTTGAACTGAATTCATTTAAAAACTAAGCATTATGCAAAATCTGAATATTTTTTGTTAGTAGTGTGCTAGTTAAGGTGGACTGTCCATGAGACCGGCTGGAAGCCCCCACGTACACAGTGAAGCTCACTTTCATGTCCACCTGGGTGGGTCACGGTGGCATAACCTCAGTGCCCGTTTGGTCCCTCACTCTTTCCCCTCTTCTGCTCCCCCAGTTATCAGGAACTGAGCGGCTCTGCTGCAGCACACACTTTGCCAGGATGTTTTTGTCTCGGAGCCAATTTGCCATGGGTAAATTCTCTGAAACCCTAATAAAATAAAACATTACGTCCTCTTAGTTACGAGTGTCAAGGTTTGGTTCCAGCTATAGGAAGGCTGGTTAAAACAGGTACATTGTATAAGACACATGGTGTAAAGTTAAAATAAGGTAGGATTTTTTTACAGAGCAATCTGTCCCTACTTAAAGACAAATTATAATAGCTACCTACAAAAATTTGCGAAAGTATCCCTGGTTTTACAATGATTACTTTTTTTATTATTTTGTTGTGAAAATTTGTTTTACCTTTTCTTCTTAATATTAACAAATAAAGTAAAAAAAAATTCTCCAATCAAACTCTGTATGCAAGGATTTTTACATTATTGTCTTCTTTTCGTTAAAACATGGAGAAAACATCACTTCCTGGAATATAAAGATAAGTGGTAAGTCTTACACAAATGGACAAAGGGAATCGTTTTTCTAGAACCGCTGTTTCCTCACCCACCACCAAACAATGCAATGATGAGCTTTCAACTTTGTGTTGTGTAGGTCTCTAAAATTATATTTTAGAACAAAACTATTATCAAAATATATATTCTATCTTAAAATAACTATACAATATAATTTTAATATGCTTGAATGTAAAATTTTTAAATATAATTTAGATATTAGGAAATTTATGCAATTTGAGAATTTGAAGTAATACATTATAGAGTTTTTCATTTATTTTTTGTCAGGAATTTTGTGTATCATTTTTGTTTAATCAATTAATCAAATAAAATTTCATAGGTTGGCTCCTAGAAGTAAATATATATATATATATATATATATATATATATACATATATATAGGTTCTAATGTATATTTTAAAAGTTTCTACTAGTGTATTAACATATATATATATATATATATATATATATACATACATAGTCACTGATGAGTCTATTTCTTCTTCGATGAATTATACTGAATTACCAATGAACAAGGTATTCTCAAATTGGATATAAATTTAGCTTCAACTATTTCAGCAATTACTATATAATTTTATGTAACTCAATAAACATGGCCAATATTTACTCACAAAGAGGCAAGGTTATGACTATGATCTCTAGAACTAACTTTTTTTCTTAAATATCCTACGTCAAAAGTTTACATGGTATGTTTTCCTAGTCTGAGTGTATCCTTTTAAAGATTTGTTTCTTCTTTTTTCTAGAGAACTAGAAAGTGGCTACACTTCCAGACCGAGAAGAATTCAGATGCAAAACATGTGGTGTATTCATTTACATAGCACGACAAAAATGAAAGTCAAGGCTGAAAGTAAAATGGACATAATTTTAATGGATTTTTTAAAATTTTGTGCATTGAATTCAAACAGCAAACTGTGTGCACTTGACTGTTATCACAATGTTGTCAAGAGACCTGTGTCTTTTACCGTTTTACACACAATTGTTCATTCCAGTGTCGTCAGCCTTGTGGAAACCAGGGGTGTGGCATGGTAAGCAGTCGTGGTAGTGCACCTAGCTTTTATATTATCTAACCTGAAAATATTTCTCTTCTATGATTCCTTTTTTCTTGATAAAAATAGTTTTCACCAAACGTTGGTGGTGCACACGCACTACCATACATGCTTGACATCACACCCCTGACAGGAACGCATGTTCTTATTTGTTGATAAAAAGTATTACAAAAATTTCCATACAAAAACTATTTTCATAGAAAGCTTGCATTTCCACAAATAAACCTGAACATTTTTTTGAAAAAAAAACTGCTCAAGAATTTTGTTCATTTTACATTGTGACTGTATTGAGAAATGCAGTCCACTTCAAAGTTGTCTACGGACAGTTTTCTGTAGATGACAAGTCCCTTTCCTTTGACTAGTGACATCTGCCCAGGCTCCATCAGGCGCATTTGCAACAGGAACAAGGGTGTGGCTTGATACATCTGAATCTTAGAATGAAAGCTTCAGTCTTCCAACTGACCATCCATATTGAGTCTTCTTTTGCAAAGACAAAGATTGCAATAATAATAATAATAATAATAATAATAATAATAATTCTTTTAACTCAGAATCACCAAACCAAGTTTTGCATTTTTATTTCTTGTGTGATTAGGGGAGACATAGGGATCTGGTAGAGGTGTTAAGTCTCCTGCCGTGGTGAATTTAAGTAAAAAATTTACTGCTTGGTATTTTACATTTCTATCTCATTCAGTGACACAGACTTTTAGGAGAGAGAGAGACAGAGAGAGAGAGAGAGACAGAGGGAGAGAGACAGAGAGAGAGAGACAGAGACAGAGACAGAGATCGGCTTTATATTCCAATTGACAAGGAATTCAGATGTGTTTTGCATACATTTTCACATTCTATAAACACATTGTCTATTCAGATGGCAGTTATATTCAGTAGATGGGCTACTAACATTATTATCTCTTATTGGGGTATTTAAAAGAGTGTTGCTTTTGTAAACCTGTAGTTTGGGCTGATTTTGAGTATTTTGATTCTTTGAGACTTTTCCCTTACTGATCACTCCTGTTGAGCATGGATATTCCATCTCCTGGCAACATCTGGGCTTCCAAAGGAACCTGTAATTTCTCACTGGACTGCATTTGAAATCAGTCACAAAATGCTCATGTGACATTCACTCAGAAGAAGGGAGGAGCCCATGATAAACAGTATAACCCAGTGTAACTTGGTCGATCCGTGATGCTCGTAAATCAAGTCTATCATTGCAACTGCTTAGATCACAGAGTCTCTAGTTCATAGACACAGCGGCATGAGGTAACTCATTTTATTTTGCACAGGTTGCATATTTCCACAGGAAACATTCTCGCTAAAGTGTTTGGAAAAAGACGACAGTTTGTGCTTGGGCGTTTGTCCTCCCAGCTTTATGCCATGGTTTCTTTACCTGGCAACCTTCTGTCATTAAAAGTGTGCATGTTGATAACTTCTTCTGTTTTCACAATGACGGGGGCCTGGGGCTTATGTTTCAGCCGACGCTGGCACTTGAGGGACATCCTCAGTTCCTCCACCATGGCGCTACAGAAGGATCTCTACAGAAGAGCACAGGAAAGTGAATGTCACCAACACAGAAGCTCTGAATGTTCTAAAACAGCTTTAAACCATTCTCAACAGACTTTTCAATATAAGAGCCCTGAAGATTGGAAAAATATCATTGTAAAAGTTACAATAAGTATTATACTTTTAATACACGACCGATGATAACTGAAATATGCACTCAGAGTCGGTTAGTATACGACAAACAAAAAGTCTATCTGACACTGAAATGAATTTTCAACAAGAAACGTATATAATTGATGTATGTAGAGTACACATTTCTGATGAGACCATGTAAAACTGATTACCATAAAATAGAAAGTGACTTAACATTGAAAAACAGACATCTAAATCATAAGTCCATTTGTGGTATTTACAAAAGAATTGTGGAAGAGATTAATGCTTTTTAGATCTCAAGCTAAGTCCCACAAAATAACCTCTCAACATTGATTCTTCATTGTGCATTCTAAAACAATAGAGAATATCTCTCACAAAGACATAAAATGTGAAAACAAGTTTTAGAATTTAATTGCATTTTTGTGATTATACCTATAAAACACTGATGTGACTAGAAACAAATATGATTTAACCACCAAATGACAAACTAACATGTTAAACATCTCTGAAGAACTTTAAATTTTTTTTTTTTCATCCACTTGGTAACTGAAGACTAAATAATTGGTTCTATGAAGAAAAACAGTTTACCAACTATCTTTTAATTTTCCTCTTAATGACAATTTTTCTGAAACTTCTGTATATTTGTGGTTCACTAATCCAGTTCACAATTCATAATACAGAGTAATATGTAAAAACCAATTCTTTTCCTCTCTTTCCCTATCTGATTTAATAAATGCATGCTAGTTATATATGAATCAGATTATAAACCAACTGCCTATTACAGTTGAAACTTACATGGGTAGAGATTTATTAACTAGGATCTTTCTGTAAATGAACCAAAAAATGTGAACAACAACCAAACATTTGGACAAGTGTAAAACTTCACACGACTCTAAAACGTGATATGAAAACAGGATGGAATAACCCTAATCAAACATGAATGTGAGGCATTTATTTGTTATTATTTCACTGCTCATCAGCTTAAGCTGATTGCAAGAGAAAACAGTGTAAAAATTTTAATGTCATATGTACACTATGTCTTTTTTTACAAAGTATTTTGCATAATGAAGTTTTTCCCATTCAAAGCAGCATTTCAAAATAATCAGGCCTTTATGTTGTAGGAAGCCAAATCCAAGAGTGACTTTCTGTGGCTCACACCTGACACTGTAGTGTATCCTGACTGCAAGTTCTGTAATTTTTTAACATTGTTCTAGTGCCTTTTTCATGGGTGTGTTTTCATGTTTGTTGGACAATTTTGTTTGTTTACTTGTTTAATAATTTACTTATTTTTTTCCTAACAAAATGTCTACCGTCAGGCATCTGTAAGATGTCCCGGCTTCAGAATCATCTATGTCTTTGCATCAACGCAAACAGCACTTTCTACAGGTCACACCCATCACCCTCCTCCTCTCCCATCGTCTTTCTCATCCATCTCTACTTCCCTGAGCTCCTTTCTCTCAAACCTCCTCTTTTTTCCCTCCACAGCAGCTTCTGTGCTTGATCTTCATGGATTATTTTTGCTATTTATTTGTTTTGCTTTTATGCTTGCTGGTTTTGGTCCCGAGAATCCAACTCGGGACCTCGTGCTGTGCCCTGAGCTGCGTCCCCACCACGGCTTTCGGGTTCTGCTTCTCCTCTTTTGATGCCCTGCTGAATCCTTCTCTCTTCACATAACCTCCACTTTATCTCTACCTCAGGACGTGACTCCGGTTTTAGATCATTTAGAATACCGTTTGCACAGCATCGTTATTTTCCCTTGATTTAGCCTTATTTCCTCCGTGTTGCACTCAGTAGCATATCATGTTTTTATCTGGAACTAGATCACCTGCGAATCACACTTACGGAATCGTGAAGAGCAGAGATGCAGGGCTTGTGCACTGCGGGAACACACATGCGCTCTTTAAATCTGGACCAAATAAACCAGAGCTGCGCCTCACCCTCGTATTTTAAAATCTAATTTACCAATCTTTCTGATTCAGCTACTTAAAGGTTTTCATATTCAACATCTGAGGAAAACACAATACAAAGCTTCCGCATTTGTTTAACAACATTGAATTAGTGAAAATATTAACATATTAGCACTTGTCATGGGTCATAACTAAATGCTGTTCGTGAATTCTTTGTTAACTACCGAGTTACTGCCATGCATTATGTATTATGAGGTAAATTATACATGACTGAAATTCATGAGTTATATTTAGGGTAAAGGATTTCTAGCACACTTGGCCGCCAGTGTATGGACACAGTGTTTCTTGGGCTTAATACCTACTATTAGATGTATTTATTAAGGGCATGATGACAATGATGATGATGAAGATGGTGATGATGACAACACTGGAGAAATGGAAAAATCTGACTCCAAAAGAGGGAGCAATACAAAGTCTTGAGGTGACTTAGTCTCGGCTCTCTGTTGAAACATTTAACAGAAGAATCGATTAGAAACACAACAAGATCAGAACTGGATCCTCTTGGCACTTAATGGTGTCACAGGCTGTGAATGACTTGAATTGTTTGAAATAAGTCAGTGTCTAAAAATAACAAAGTCCCCCAATATTAGCTAATGTATAACCTCTGCTTAAGGCAATTTTGACTTGCAGAATTCTGATTTATGGATTTCAAAACAGATCAAAGTAGATACATAAAGTCTCCATGTTCACTACAAGAGTAGAGTAAGCAACTGATTTTTTAAGAAAATCGATATCAAAACACACATTCTTTATCATGTACTATTAAACATAGTACATTATGCCTAATTCAGACTAAAAATGAAAACATATAGAACTATTTTGAATCAATTAATAAATCTTACAATCCAAATGTAAAATGTAAGTAAAATTACCTGCTCCAAAGATCAAAATAAGTTTTTATAGTTTTAGACTACCTTAAATCAATTACATTGACTGATTTAGAAACTACCTCAAAAACCTGTAAGCCAAGTTCATCATTTTAGAATTCATCTAACGTATAAAACCAATAAATAAAATGCAAAAATTTTAGTCAGACAATCTTCAATTGTCTTGACAACATCTTAGTAAAAAAACATAAAAAATTATGTTTTCATTTTGAACAAAGTGAATTTTGCAAGTTCCTTTTTGGCTATCAGTGCAACTATTTTATTTTTATTACTAATAAAATGACAGACAACACGATTTTTCTCATTAGAATATATTTAGAATGTACCATAAACCCTAGAAACTTTTACAATTGTGAAATATTTAGAATCAACAAAACAAATCAAAACAAATTAAAAGGCTTTATTAATATAAAATAGTTTAGTTTTTTACTGTCTCTCTCTGTCTCTGTCTGTCTCTCACGCTTTCCTCCTAAGTATTTGAAACTATAAAAAGTTTTAAAATAAGAGTCATTAACCTTGCTATACACTGACAAAAGCTACTGTAACTGCAAGGCAAAGCTTTATTTTCATGCAGTGAAACAAATAGCTTTTCTTATTTTATTCTGTAATTGGAATTTGTAAAGGTTCCCTTGTAGGACTGGGAAATAAGATGTTCAAAACCGTCATATGCACTTAACAAACGTTTCCCAAGTTAGCATAGAGAAGAAGCAATGAAGGAAAGAAAGTAAAGAAGGAGTAAAGAAGAAGGAGAAGCAGAGAAAGGGGACAGTAAGAAGGAAGGAACAGATAGAGGAGGAGAAAGGGGGCTGGCAGGGGATAGTGAAGGGGGAGGGGAGGGGAGGGGGAGGGGAGGGAGGAGGGGAGGGGAGGGCAGGACGGCAGGGGAGGGGAGGGGAGGAGAGGGGTGGGGAGGGAAGGGAAGGGGAGGGGAGGGGAAGGGGAGGGCAGGGGAGGGGAAGTCAACCCCTGCACCTCCCTCCAAGGGCCTTTCATGGCACTTCTCCCTGCAGGTGCCCTGAAATGAGGAACGTTCCTTAGCTGGAAAACCACAACGAAAATGTTTCTTCACATTAACAGACTACAGAAAGAAAAAAGAAAGGCACAAGGATACTAACCATTATTAAAAACCTCTTTTAGTAAGTTTCAAATTTTACTAAACAGTGTCTGGATGGTATGGTGGCACTAACCAAATAGAAGATTCCTGAAAATGAAAATTTAAATCTTTGAGCTGTTAGCACGTATAATTGCATTTAAATCATAAAATTCTTCATAAAAGTCAGTGAATTTAATGAAATAACCTGTGTTTATACACCTCTCGTTGTTGAAATAACAAAAGCCTGGATCCCTTAATGGTATGAAATTGTCCATAGTTACATTTAATTTAAGCCTTGTCTTGTACTTTGAAGATTATAAGAAAACAAATGAATAGTCCACAGAGAAACAGTTGAGGATTACAGAATAATTATTCTCAATTGCTTTACTTCCTAGTTTATAGAAGTATTCATACGATAATATAATATGAAATGATTTGGAGAAATTTTTAAACATTAGGAATTTATTTGTGATCATGATAGCTAATCAAAGCAAAAGATTTAAATTTCGTTTTAAGTAAAAATCATCAAGTGGTTAAAAAAACAACCACTTTGAAATTTTAAATTCAGTCTCATCCCTCTCGGGCTGGCTGAGTGTATTCATTTATTGCTAGATCAAGGAGTAAGCATAATATATATTACTATCAAATCTATATTCATGTATTGTTAAGAACAAAATTTTATTTTGTGTGTTGCAAAATATTCCTTTGTAGCAAAAACTAAATTGTATTCCACTTTTCATTCAGAAAAATTCACAATCATTTTTCATGCTCAGTTCTTGTTTAAGTCTCTATGGAATATCTTTGAGTTTCTCTGATCAGATTTTTAGCTCAGTTTTCTAACATATCTTAACATGTACCAGCCAAACTGTTTTGTGTCTATCACTTATTTGTTAATGTGGACACAAGAAACACATTTCAACAATATATAATCC